AGGCTTAGAAAACCAGATCAATCTTTCATAGAGGTATTTCCCCTTGATATGTGGGCTCTCATTAGTCAATCTCCCAGAGAATGCTGATTTAGGAAAAAATGCTGGTTTGTTAATTCATACTGGAACTCTTTCTGCAGAGAGGTCTGGATATTCACATTCTGTGGTCAGAGCACTTTTGCCCTGTAGGCAGGCTACCGGAGGATCCAAACTATAATCAGAAGTTTGTATGGTGTGCATAAATGCAAAACAAAGGGAATTCAATGATTCGAATGATTAGTGGCTTCAGGCCAAGTGAAGGTGACACTCCCGTCCTACTCCAGGACCAGAACATTTGATGGGTTTCTTTGTCTAGAATATTCTTTCCCTTGGATGATATTTGGATGGACATTGACAGTGCATGTCTCTGTGACTCTTTTTTCTATACCCATGACTAACCAACAAAGTTCCTTTCTGTTCGGATCCCACATACAGACCGGCCGCTCACTGGCTGAGCGAGGTGTGGGCGCAACACCGAGGGTTGCGATCCGTTGCCGGTCACGTAAAAAGACAAAAAGGAAAAAAAAATAAAAAAAAATAAAGTTCCTTTCTGATGGACACAGTCTTTCCTTAGATTTTTTTTTCTAGCCTCCTTTCTGCAGACAAACATATTTTTTAACACATTGAACCCAGTCCATAAGGGCATGAGTTCTTAACTATGGGTTTATAAATTGGATAACTGGAGATTCTTGAGTACCTAAAAATTAAATGCAAATATTGTGTCTATGCACATTTTCTCTGGAGAGGATTCAGAGCTTTTATCATATTCTCAATGTGATTTGTTACCCAAACAGGCTAAAGAACCACTGATATAAACTCAAGTCCTGCTGGCCTCTGTCCCCACTTCTTGGAATGACTTTTTCAAGTTCCTGCTCTGATTAATTCTTTCTCTTTTAAAGTGTTAACCCTTCTGGGGTACTCTTTCTTCCCTTATTTCCAGGTTTAGGGGGAAGAGAGAGTTCCTCAATGTAACCATGCAAGATTTGATAGCCAGAGAGAAATGGGAGGACATTCTACATGGAGTGATCAATGGGCACCAAAAGAGAAGTGTCCTGTTCACCAGGTGTTTAGATGCTTTTCAAAAAATTTACCCTCTGTTATTTTGATAGTTCTAAAGTTGATTTCTTTATTTTTGTGATTAGCCTGTGTGAAGGTCAGAATAAGTAGGGACTTACATTAAAGCTGGGAAAGCTAGAACACATGTGTGGAAATGGATTCTAAGTGCATTAGACCAAAGAGAAGGAAATGTAAGTTAGATAGGCATGAAATTATCAACCAGAGTGTAATTATATGGATTCAGGATATAGTATTTAACCTGAGCTCCCACCGTGGCTTTAACAGCTTGCTTGGCTAGTTTCCTGAAGCCAGGACTCAGTGGTGACCTAGAGTCAATGAGGTTAGGGTGTCAAAGGTCCAAAATCTCACGGACATGGAAATCTTGGAGTGGACCTAAATGTGCAATTTCCTCAGCCACCCCCGTCCATAACCTTGGAAAGGTTCAGAAGATGTGCCAGTTCCTAGGGCATGAAAATACATGAAGACACCCCTGAAAAGCAATACCAAAGATGGTAGTGGGAGGTGCCATCTGAGAATTGGGCTTTCTGATTTCAGTGGGAATAGCAGGATCCTGGGTTGGCAGAGGATAGTTGGTGGCTCTTAACTTTGGAGTCAAGATGGGTGAATTTACAGGGACAGAAGGGTTATTAGTGTGCTTTGACTTTCAGAGATCTGTGGTAGCAACTAATTGTTCATGGGGTTCTTAGGAACAAACAGATGGGCAGTCAACTAAAGTGTGGCTTTATCTGTATAACTGGAAAACAGAAACCTGACTCAAGTCATCATAGTGGGAATTTACTGTCTCATACCCGGTTACTGAACTTAAGCCAGTTCACAGGCCTACAGCCTGTTGATTGAGAAGAAACCTGGGTTTCTGTTTTCCAGTTATATAGATAAAGCAACCCCTTAGTAGACTGCCCATCTGTTCATTCCTAAGAACCCCATGATCAATTAGTTGCTACCACAGATCTCTGAAGGTCAAAATACTCTAATAGCCCTTCTGTCCCTGTAACCTACTGTGGTAATTCACTTACCTTGACTACAAAGTTAAGAGCCACCACCTGTCCTCTGCCAATCCAGAATCTTGTCATTCCCAATGTAATCAGAAATGGGTGCATTGCAAGGAAGGATCTTGCAAATGTAGCCGTAAGTATATATTATAATCAAACTTTCTTTTAAGCCTCCCCCAGAAACACCTGCAGCCACTTACTAAAATGACTTTGTATTGGATGGGAGAATACCCAAACCGTTTGCATGCTATTAGATACTGGTTCATATACTCACTGGAGGTACAAAATGCCATCTTTGTCTGCCAGTCAGAATGAGGGCTAATGGAAGTCATGTGATAAACAGAGTCTTGGCCTCAGTCCATCTGCAGTGTGTCCAATGGATCTAGTATTTCCTTAGTTCCTGAATATATAAAGTAGACATACTTAGTAATTGGCCAAATCCCCCCATCAGTTACCTGACCCATTGTTTATTGTCTCTTATTCAACCCACCCCTATGGCCTCTATGGCCTTATGACAAGGATGATCTGGAGAAGAGATATGTAGATGGGCCTCTTGGAATGGGCACAGAGTGTGAAGACAATCATGTCCCACAAAAATGCCCAACAGGGGGTATCCAATAATCAGGTGGACAAGACGATCACTTAGATGACAGTTGGCCTCTTTCCCCAGCTATCCTAGCGGCTGCTCAATGGCCCAGGTAAAGGTGTTGTGATAGAACAGATGACAGCTATGCACAAGCTTAACAATGTGTATGTCCCGTCGTCGAAGCTAATTTGAATACCACCACTGGTGAGTGTGCAACTGCCAACAGCAGAGGCCAGTACCGAGCCCTCAATATGGCACCATTCCCTGGGGAGGCTAGCCAGGCATCTGGTGGTAAACTGATTTCATAGGAACCCTTCCTTCATTGAGGACAGAAAGTGTCCTCATGGGAATAGATATAGTTTCAGATTTTATGTCCTTGGTCCCAATGCTTCTGCCAGAATCATCATTCAAAGACTTACAAAGAATACCATCATTACCACCATAAAACATTACTTCGGACCAAGAAGCTAATTTACAGAGAAAGAGGTGTGGCAATAGGCTCATACCATGGAGTTTATTAGTCTTTGGATATATATGTTATCACCTAGAAACAGCTGGCCTGAAAGAACTGTGGAATGACCAAAAGAAGGCTCAGTTATGGCACCAGCAGGAAGACTGTACCCTAACAAGTTGCAGTATATGCAACCAGCAACCAATATGAGACGCTGTTTTCTCCCCAGCTCAGATACACAAGCATAGCATAGGAAGAAAGAGGAGTGGCCCCTCTCCTGAGTACATCTAATAACCCAGTTAAAGAATATTTGCTTTCGGTCCCCACATCGTGGCCTTGGCAGGTTTATAAGTCTTAGTTCCTAAGGGAGAAAAAGCTCCCAACAGGGGAGACAGTTGTGGTCTCATCAAGTAGAGGCTGAGACAGCTCAGTTACCATTTTGGTCTCCTCATGCCACTGAACAAACAGGTAGGGATGTGAGTTACTCTACTGACCGGGATAACTAATCCTGATTATTAAGGGGAAAGTGAGTAATGGGATCTTTTCGGACAACTTGGTCCAAAGAAGCATCAAGGAGAAACTCTGATTTTGAGTTATCTCTAGTATACCAATTATTTTATTTTAAATTGACTTTACAATCCAGGGACATATGGTCTAACATGAAATGTGCAGAAATAGGAATTCCTAACCTTTGGTCTGGGTAAGGCCCATAAAGGGTCAGTCTAGCCTAGGGATCAAAACAAAAAACTATCTTTTTATGGATCACACAGGAAAGATATAAGGAGTGGAGAGACTCCGTTTATGATCACTACTTGAAATGACAAAGACTTCTGAAACAAAAGCAGTTCAGAAATGGAGTCAGAGCAGAAAGAACTCTAAGACAGCAATGAGGCTTACACAAATATTTGGTGTCATCCTCCTGGCCCCTCTACCTTTCTCGGGTTCTGTGGTGCTCCAGATTCTGGCAAAATTAAGTCAGATTGTGGTGGAAAATAGGATCACAGATTTAAAAATGGCAGTAAGAGTCTATTGTTTCAAAAAAGCTCCATACAGGAAGAAGTGGAAAACACTCACCAGGAAGAATCAGTTCCTCGACTTGCCTTGTTAAGTACATGGTTTATATCTTCCAAGGAAGAAAATAAACGGTAAAGGATGTTCTCTAGATACACTAAGTTGTGAGGCAAGTTGGATAAAACAAGCAATCATGTCATTGATAAGTTTTCTGTTGAAACTCATCTAAGATGGAAGTTGTCCAGCATGCAGGTGGAAATACACGTTGGAGTTCTGGACCTTAGAATGGTGACTGACAGTCATTAGAACAGTCATTAGCACAGAAATGATGCCCCAACAATCCACCTGATACTCAGGCCTCACTTTCATTATCTATGTGAAGTTCTTGTTTGACTAATAGACAACGTCAATTTTAGGCACAACACACCACCTTTTGATCCCAGCGTGGTGGTCAATAACACAGGTCGTGTTTCCCAGCCCTGGACCGTCATCCTACTGACAGGCACTCTTCCTTCATATCTCACAGGACAAGAGACCCCTGTGGTGGAGATATGACCAGGGTTTGTTAGAGACTGTGACCCCTAAACAGGAAGATTTCTTTTTTAATGATAAAGCTTTCTTTTTTAATGATAAATAAAAGACATAGAATTTAATTCTTCATAGGGCAATTAGTGTGTGTTCATTACACATTTCATACATGAGCTGTGTGACAGGAATATGTGAAATTTCATGCTGAACAAGAAGCCCATGCTATGGGCTCTGGTCAGCTTCCAACACACACTGGTTCCTCATTGAATAGGTCAAGGGACACTGCTCCGTGTCACAGGTAACTGGCCAGGCAGACCCAGACATGACCAATGACATGTTTCATGATCAGTATGTGGCCTGTACTGAAGAAATGAAGGAAAAGTCACCCCAGCTGCTAAAAGAGGAACCGAAAGCAAATGAACAAATTTAAACTGGATGTAAAAGGGCAGAGGAAAAATGGAAGCAAAAGACAAACAAATGAACAAAACTAGATGAAGCCTGATTTTCCCGGAACAGCTCAAGTGGCCTACACTGGGAGTCCTGCAACAGAATTAGCAGAGCTGGTAAGAGAATTCCATCAAAATTCACGTGGCTGTCAGTTCAAAGCCTTCCATTATTATCTGACAAGAGCTCTTCAGCTTTGCACTACAGGGAGCTGTTACACTGTTTGTAGAGGTTCTTGCCCCAAATTTTATTACAGTGGGGAAAAAAATGTCCAATTTGGGCAATTTGTTTTATCATCTTTGTTTCAAAATGTAGCTGTTTCTTCAACATTTCTTGTGGGGGTGGACGCTGTTGTCATTACATCCTGCTTGGGGTTCATATTAAAGCATTCTCTATCCATCCTTATGAAGATGAAGTGCTGATTACAGGGTACGAGGTTTACCAGAAAGTCACCGTAAACCAAACAGATAATACAATGCAATTTTGCTCAAATGTCCCCTAAAATGATGAGTAACTTCAATTGCTTCTGCTAAAAATCACAGAAAACAAGACAGCAATTCCAACAGCTCAGGTGAGAGTCTGGGTCTGCACTGGAGGTGGGAGTGGTGGGGCCATCACAAAATGGAAGATGGGGTGCTCTCCTACCAGAAGCCCCAGGGCGGAGAGCGATGGGCCTCCAATAACTGCTGGAGAGTGTTAGGTTCCTAAAAGGACAGGGCTGATGTCCTACAATAGAGAGCAGAGCCCAGGCCCAGAGACACGGGGCAGTTTCTTGTCCAGCCAGTTTCCCAACCTCCCTGCTGTGCAGAAAGGTCAGAAAGATCTGCCCGATGCCAGGGGAAATGAGTTATAGAAACTACTGCTGTGTCAGGGAACATAGCAAAAGGTCAGGGGGTCGCGGGGTCGCAAGACCTGGTTTCAGGCAGAAAGGTGTGGCTGCTGCAGTAACTCAGCAAGCCAGGAGGGTGTCTGAACTGAAGAGGTGGCCATGGTGGTGGAGTGGCGTCTGGGGACTGGTGCCCTCTGTGAGGTGTTCCAGGAGAAAGAGTGACAGCTGGACAGACTGGGGACTGTGACCAGAAAACACATTAGTGGACCTTGAGATTTCAAAAGTGAAGTAATTTCAAGTTCTGATTAGATTGTAGGATATTTCCATGGTCGTTTGTTCTGAAATTTCTCTGGAAATGAAAATATTCAAGGCACAGAAAACAAAAACTCAGGGTGATTCCAGGAGAACTTTCAGCTCTCACAAGGAACTTTTGTAAGCTTTTACAATTCACATCAGACCTTAATGGAAACAGGATGGTCAGGTAAATAGGCCAGGGGAGGAAAGATGCTACCTGCCATTCAGACCAAATGATTACCATCAGATACTGGTAAAGAGCTAGAATACCATATTTTGCAAAGTCATATTGGGCAGAGAATGAATTTGTTGCAAAAAAATAGGATTTCCAGAGCCAGAATACCCTCGAGGATGAAGAAAGACAAGCACAGAGGGGATCCCTCGATGGCCAGAGGAGCTCCAAGCCCAGACAGGAAAGTCCTCTCTCACAAATGGAGCAGCACCCAGGACACCAAGGGCTCTCAAAGCAGAGGACTGGCAGCTCGAAGCACGAAGACCCAGAGGTGAGGAGCTAAATTGTCCATCAGGCTTGACTGCTGCAACAATCTGACTGACACTTTCTCAGACTGGAATTTCCAGTAGAGAAGAAAAGAACTAAAGGACGATGTCCTTGGGAGCTTTTGGGTGTCACAGGAATTCCCGATAGATAAGAGGGGATTCCAGATGGAAATCCTGAGGAATGAGAGCTCCTCTGCCTGGTTTATTGATAGAAGGGTGGAGCTGGAAAGATCGCATACATCCATGTTCTGAAACATTTCCTCCCATCCCAGTCACAAGGGAAGGACTTGCATTCCCAGTTCTCCTGCCTGGTCTCTTGGTCTTGCTCCTTCCTGCTGAGCAGAGTCCTCACCTGCTTCCTGGTTTTACATTTTCTTCAGTGAAGAGCAGACATAAAAGGGAAAGGGAGGGATCTGACTACTTACCAAGGTTGCTATGGCAAATATTGGGAAGCATGAAAATAGATTATTTTCCCTGGTTCATTTTACTGCTTTTTTTTTTTCCTGCATAAAAATCCAAAGGATCTCCTAATTGAACTATAAGATTATGTGACCTATTTTCAGAATTTCTAGCTAACATAACATATAATCTGTTTAAGTCCTTCAGTATGATTAACTGTATACACTGTCAGCAATAGTATTAAATATAGGTGTAATGATCATAAATATTGTTAAGTTGAAGAAATAAATGATCTCTAATAATTTTTCCTCTTCTGTAACTTTAGAGAATTCTATATAGGCTGTGCTAGTTCCTGGCTAGTGTCTTCCTCAGATTTACCTGATCCTTGAGCTGGACACAGTAATGACAGCTCAGGTGACAGACTTTTCACAGCTTTTTTGATGCCCTGAAAGGCGAGGTAAATGCTGAGAATCATCCTAGACCAAGGTATCTTGACCTTGGCACTACTGACATTTCAGACTGGATAATTCTTTATCATGGGGTCTGTCTTGTGCTTTGCAGGGTATTTGGCAGCATCCCTGTTCTCTACGCACCAGATGCCAGTAGCATCTCTGACCCTCTCACCAAATGGTGACAACCAAAACTGTCTCCAGACATTGCAAATGTCCTCTTTTGTCAAAATCGCCCCTACCTGAGAACCACTGTCTTAGACAAATTCATCTTCCTTCCCCACTAGGTAGATACTTGGTCACAAAGTCCTGTAGAATCCATCTTCTTGAATTATCTATCAAATCTATTCTCTCTTCTCTGTCTCCAGTGTTCCAGGTCTCCTAGGGAAATCCACAGGTGCGTTCCTAAGGTTTGCATGGAACCAGGAAGGAGCCTATCCGAGTCTGAGGCTGCAGTAGCTGAAGGCGGCCACTGGGTGGTGGCCATGCAGCATCAACTCCGGATCCCAGACTAGCGCTGAGACAGGACACTGTGTTGTCCTAGAAGCAGCTGGTTATGACTCAGCCCAGGCCAAGTCAGTAACATTAGGCGCTGTCGATCTACAGAGTACTTCTTGTGTGCTAAGCACTGCAGAAGGTACTTTAGCCATAATAATAAGAATCATAGTTAACCTTCATTGAGCATTTACTCCATGCCAAACACTGGGTTCTAGGCATCATGTGGATTATCTCCTTAAATTCTCACAATAATCCTAAGAAATGGATATATTCATTTATTATCTCATTTTATAGATAAGCAAACAGAGGTACAGAAAGTTAAGAAACTTGAAAAAATTAACACTTAATGCTTTAAAATTCTGAACAAATTCATTTAACTATTGAACACCTTACTATGTCAGGCACTCTCGTAGGTGCAAACTGGTATTTTAAACCCAATATTATAGGAGAGAAAGCATAGTTCAGAATGTGAGAGTTATACTGCAAGTCTGCACAGCTTGCCAAGTCAGTATTTTAACTCAGGGCTACGTGTCTGATTCCAGCACCTCCCACTACATCCATATTAGAACACAGAGAAAGGGACCCCCCAAGCTGTGCCTCCTCCTGACCTGTCTCTCCACTGGTCTGCTCCACAACAGGACTCTGGTGTGCATTTACTGTGTGTCAAGCACTGTTCTGGGCATCTGAAGGTGAACAAGACAGACCCAGACCTTGCTTTCATGGAGCCCACAGTAGAAGGCAGGGGGTAGGGGAGGGGGAAGGGGAGAGGAAGACAGCTGTTCAAATAACTCATTCCAGAAATTATTGAATACAGTTGTGCTGAGTGCTGGAAAAGAGAAGGACAGGACAGGAAGTTGTAAAATCATTTCAGGAGAAGCCAGACTTGTGTGAGAAGTCAGGACAGGCTTCCATGGGGAAGGGACATTTAGGGTGAGAGTTTAAAGTTGAATAGCAGTTAATTGAGCAGTGAGTCAGAAAAGAACTGTCTACCCTAGGGATAAAAAGACCTGAAGGTTGGGAAAGAACTTGGCTCTAACAGTCAAAACGAAGGGTAGTAAGCAAGGGATAAATAACAAAAATCCTAATTCACAGAGGCGAACACAACTAATGTTTTCACATATCTCGTTCTAACCATTTTTAGTGACAAGCATGGACTCTGGAACCAGACAGCTTAGGTGTGAATTCTAGCTCCACCATGTATTGGTTGTGTGATGCTGGGCAAGATCCACCTTCTGTGAGCTTCCCTTTCGCCATCTGTAAAATGGGAGGAAAATCACCCCATGCTTTGAGGCTGTCATGAAAATTAACTGAGTTAATATACATAAAACACTTAGCAGAGCATCTAGTACATGGTAAGTACTGTCTAACTATTAGTTATTACTATTATTATACAGTTTGGTACATTAAAAATTATATTCTACTCTCTTTGCTTTATAAGCAAGCATCTCCCCATGTCATTAAAAGCTTCTTTGTAAATGCACACTGTGTGTGAGCATGTTTGTTTGTAAGAGCATGGAGGAAAGACAAATAGCTCTCAGAGTGGTGATGTGGTAAGCTCAGAGAGGAGGGGAGGGGAGGACTTTATTCACTTTTCCAGGGTACAACTTTTTATTGCTCCTCTGGGAAAAACAACAAAAAGAACAAATCAACCTTAAGACACTTCACCAAAGAAGAGATGAGTGGCAAGGGGCTGGCCAGTTAGCTCAGCTGGTTAGAGCATGGTGTTATAATACCAAGGTCAAGGGTTTAGATCCCTGTACCAACCAGCTGCAAAAAATAAATAATTAAAAATTTCAAAAAAGCTTTAATGAGCAATTATGAACACACATGAAACAAATGGAATGTCTCAGCAAAGAGATAAAAGGTATAGAGAAGAACCAAATGGAAGTTTTAGAACTGGAAACTGTAATAACCGAAATAAAATCACTCGGTGGATGGGCTCAACTGCAGGATGAGGAGACAGAAAAAAATAATTAGTGAACTGGAAAATAAAACATAAGATATGACCCAGATTGAACAACGATGAGAAAATAGACTGAAAAAAGTATTCACATAGCCTTAGGGGCCCGTGAGATTATAGTAAAAGATGAAATATTCATGTCGTGGAGTCCCAGGAGAAAAGAAAGAGGGTTGGGCTAAAAAATACTTGAAGAAATAATGGTTGAAAAATTTCCAAATTTGGCAAGAGACATAAACCTACAGAGTTAATAAGCTGAGCAAACCCCACTCAGGGTAAATCCAAAGAAATCCACATCAAGACACATTAAAGCCAAACTTCTGAAAACTAAAGAGAAAAAAAAAAAAATCTTGAAAGCATCCAGAAAGAAATGACATTTTACTCATGGGGAAAAAACAATTCAAATGACCACAGATTTCTCATCAGAAACAATGGAAAGAAGAAACAGGCACATTTTTTAAGTGATTAAAAAAAATTTTTTTTTTTAACTGTCAACCCAGAATCTTATATCCAGTGAAAATATTCTTCAA